GAATGCAATGTACTGATAGTCATTAGCTAGCTTAGCTCTTGGTTTTTGTCATTTTAACATTAAAATGTTTTTGACATTTAGTCAAAATATTAAGACAGGTAAATGTCTCCTTGTGTTTCCTTGGGGAGGAGGGGGGGAGGGTGATGTTATTCTTCTGCCTTACCTCCCAATTGCACCTCAAAAACAATACACACAGACTTAACACTGATCCGTCTTAGGCTAGCCTACACTGCAATTGAAGAACATTTGTGGCGGAATGAAAGCTCACACTGCACGACTGAATTGTTTACGACACACGACCAGAGCTCATGATTCATTAATTCAAGCATTCGCGCTTGTCAATAGACAACTCCCATAGGCCGAGATCGAAGTCTTTGCGATATTCAGCTGTGTCATATGCACGGCTCAAATACACACACCAGCAAAAAACACTCCCACTCACTCACATGCACCCACTCAGAATCACCAAGAAACAAAAGCTTACTAAAAGCCAAATCATAACAAACATTCCCTGTCGGCTGGAGGTCAACAGATATTTCCTACCAACGTCTCTTTCATGATAGGAGACTAAACAAATATGCCTGCTGTAGCCATGTTGATTTTAGATTCCGTCAAAGTCAGGGAATTGGCTCGCGGCTCTGCTCTCAGTGTGCAAGTCGTATGACTGAAATATTAAACATGCCAGAAAATATGACAGTTCAGGCTGTAATCAGCCGTTGTGCCATCAGCTTGAAACCGTACTACCCTTGAATTTTCCTTTTTTTTTGGTCAGATTTGGATGGTAAGCTCTATGATGCCTATGTGGCACATCCTCAGCCCTGTGACGCTGGATTCGGAGAGGAAGTTGAGAAGTTTGCACTTCATACACTTCCTGAAGTGTTGGAGAACACCTGTGGCTACCAACTCTTCATAGCAGGCCGTGACTGTCTGCCTGGGCAGGGTAAGTAACCTACATGGCTGAGGCAGTATTGTAGAAAAAAAATTACTTTCTCTTTTTACTTGAAGTGCTCTAAAAATATTTTTGAAAAATCCTCTAACTCCAGTTTGACGTTTCCTGCTCTGTCCCCTCCTACAGCCATAGTGGACTCGGTGGAGGAGAACTTACAAGCCAGTCGCTGTGTCCTTTTGCTCTACACCGCCTCCACCTTCATCAGCGAAAGACACACAAGCAACAATCAAACCTCAAAGAGCAGTGATATCAGGGAGAACGGTGAAATCAAGACAACAGACAACATTATCAACATGACTAATCATGGTGATAAAGAAGTCTATTCAGACACAAGGCAGCAGTTTGAGTGTGTGGCAGCGATGCACAGAGCGCTTCTAGAGGGATCTCTCAAGGTGAGAAAACAAACTTGTTAATGAATATACTTGAGGTTGCATTCGAATTATATGGTTACTAACTACAGTAAAAGTAGAAAGATTAAAGGCTTACAAAAAAGTTAATACTTAAATAAAACTTGTTTTGGTGATTTAATGATCCATATTAGGGCTGGGCGATATGGACCAAAACCTATTTCTCGATATTTTTTAGCTGAATGGCGATACTCGATATCGATATGTCAGTTTCATGTGGAGTTGTTCTAATTTGATGCAAAAATAAAATAAAATCAGTCCATGTGTTTTGGAGGTTCACTTGTGAACGTTAGAGTCGAGCACCGCGGTTAATTTCCTCATAACACTTTACTTGTTTTATTACGTTGCTGGAACAGCTCAATTTCAGATATATATATTTAAAATACATTTGTATCTTCTCTCATTCTAAATTAGTTTTGCTTTTTCAGGTGGTTCTGGTTGAGTTGGAAGAGATCACCCCAGCTCAGCTCGCTCTCTTCCCAGAGTCGGTGCGTCAACTAAGGAAGAAGCAAGGTGCTGTGTGTTGGTGGAAGAACTTAGAGAGGAGGCAGAGGTCTGTGACATGTGACATGAGGAGGAGAGAAGATGAAGAGAAAAGTGGACAGGACACACCGCTGTCTCCATCCCTCTCTCCCTCCTCCAGGTTTTGGAAGGAGATGAGGTATCATATGCCTGTGAGGGGAAAGAAGAGGTGTGTCCGACAGATGGAAGAGAGTAGCTGGAAAAATGTAAATAACTGTTGACAAACCTTGAGGTTAAGATTGAGATATAATGTGAACATAAACATTACTGATTGAACCAAATATCAAGTGTTACTATAGATTGTACACCCTGTATGTATGTGTTATCTATTTCTATATCACATAAACACTATGTTTGGAGATCCATATTCAATGTATTGCCATTTATTTCACATCTATGAAAAATAGTTTTATTCTTATTACATGTTATTCATGAGGGCGTTGATCTTCCAACAAGGCTGCTCAGAGTGCTAATTATGTATGTTGAAAAATATTAAAATAGTGATTAATTTAAATCTCAACAACTAATAATATTGACTGTAGACTGTGGAAACCTCTTACTAAATATTCAGTGGTGATAAAACTCAGGGCAGAGTTAATCTGAGAAACAAGATCCATCTGTCATCTGTCATGGTAAAGACAAGCAAATGTTTCCTTTGACGAAAAAAACCATACATTTTGTATCCTTGGATAAAAAGTGGACTGGCTCTGGTGGTTTAGCATTTTTCTAGTGGATACCAAACATTTATAAAAAAGGTTGTTTTCATACTATATGGAAATATGCTTTTTATACTTAACTTTTGTCCAAAATTTTAATATAATGCTGTAATGCAGATGCAAAAAGGGATTATACTCCAAAATGTCCACAGTAATTACGTAGTATTATGTAAATGCACTGCAATGGTTAGTCCAAGGTGCAACAGTTGTATGCTGCAATATATTTTGTAAAATATATTACCAATACCAAGCCACAGAGCAAGCAACATGTTAGCGTGAGGCTGAAAAGGAAACTCTGAATGAAGAAATACTGTCATCCATTTGAAGGCTTCTGTTTTATAGTTCCTTATACATCAAACATCATGCAAAATCTTTATATTTAAATAGATAAACAATCTCAGCTATATTTTTTCCCATGGACATGGAGAGAACACATTCAGTGCACACAGCTCAGTGTTTCCACTAGGTTTACAGCTTTGGGGGGGTGGGGGGTGCGGGCAGACGGACGCCGACACAAACACTTCTTGGAATCTTGGTGTTCATGTGTTACTTTTAATCCACTATCCTTCTCTACAATAAAGGCACTATATTAGGGCCGCCCCCCTAATATAGTGGCAGGGGAAACACTGCAGCTTTTATCTACTCAGCTTTTCTGGTGTACAGCAGTTTTACAAGCAGTTTGTTCATCAAATCAGATGACTCCCTCAGGTCTGTTTGTTCTTGACTCAGGAATTGGTCAGTTAGGGATATAATGATACCTTGTAACAAATTGATAGAAATATGGACAATTTAATTTGATATGACAAAAATAAATATTGCATCCTCCCTTTTTTTAACCAGCAGAGATTATGGCTTCTCTTGTTCGACGTCTGTAGCTGAAGGATAAAGGCTTAGGGAAACGGTCGCGGCACAGCAAGTGAAATGCATCTTGTTTCAAAGTGGGAGAGAAGACGCAAGGTGAGCAGGAAATATACAAAATAAACTTAGTGTGCAAATATCGCAAGAGACTAATGAAGACACAAATCGCACAAATATACAAAGTAGTATAGCGCCTAATACAGCATGTAAAAGATGTTGTTAAGCTCGGGACACAAACCATATTAATAACATACAATGGGAAGTGGATTTGGTAAATGGTAAATGGACTTGAGCTTGCAGTATTTCCCCTACCATTATATATATATATTTTTTTTTTTTTCCAAGATTTATTTTTGGGCTTTTTGTGCCTTTATTGTAGAGATATGATACTGGATAGAGTCGGAAATCAGGGAAAGAAGTCATTTAAGGATACCTTTCCGATAGAAAAGGACAGCTGTCATTAAAAGTAACCATGAACACCAAGATTCCTTAAAGTGTTTGTGTTGTTGTGTCGCCGTGTTGGCTTGTCCCCACCCACCCAACGCTGTAAACCTAGAGGAAACACTGGCTTGTATAGCACTTTTCTGGTCTTCAGACTACTTAAAGACTACATGTCACTTTGTCCCATCTACACATTCACACACTGATGGCAGAGGTTGCTATGCAAATTGGTACAATACCTAATACCTAATACTTAATACTAAACCTATTCATGCACATTCATACGCTGCCGACGAAGCAGCAGAAGCAAGACAGAGATTGGGGTTAAGGGTCTTGCCCAAGGACACATCGGACATGTGGCTGCAGAAGCTGGGGATTGAATCCCCGACCTTCTGGTTGAGAGACGATCGACTGGACCTACTGAGCCACAGCCGCCCCGAAACTTTGAAGCACTGCTCGCAGAAGCCATAGAGGTTACTATGTGTAGTGGAGATTAAAGGATCTGGGCTGATGATGAAAACGTTCAGATATAATAACCCAACTTTTCAGAGAACTTATCTGAGGTGAATCAAAGTTGTGAAAATTCCAGTGCTGTGGTCAACTAAGGAAAAACTTGATAACTAAAGGTCATTTTGAGATTGTAAGCTTTTTAACCTGGAATGCTGTAACTCTTGTATTTCAGTATTGATACAGCACTCCTGACTGATAATTCAAATGTATGACTTCTACAGGGTTAGGCTTAAAAAAGCCAAATAGGTATTATTCTTAAACCTGCACTTGAACATAAATATAAAACACAGCATTTGATTTTTTTTTATAAATACATAGTTTTAGCGTTAAAGCGGTAATAACACCAGTTCATTTGCTGGTTTTGTTTTATCTCAAGTTGCTTCTCTGTGCAGCCACAAGAGGGCTCACTGTGACAGTGTTTTAAACAAAACCTTCAGTGAGACCATAACTCAAACCAGACACAGCAATAGCTGCACTCAGAAGACATGGATTTATTGGTGTTGGTAATGATTACAGAACAGAGTGTGACACAGTGCAGCCTGTGTATGATGGTATATTGTTGTATGAGTTAGCTTGTGTCCTTTAACAACAAGTATTGTAAGAGCTATGTCAGAGTGCTGTGTATGTGTGAATCATATACACAGCAGACTGCTCTCCTCCCAGTTATTGCTCAACAGATGAGGACACACGCTGACTTTCATAAGATCCCTTATAGGAAGTTGCAACATGTGCTCAAGGCTCCACTAAAGAGGAAGTCAAAACTGGAGAAGACCCATCTTAACTTTGAGCTAATTTTTTAAAGCAGAAGATGTTTTTACAGGATTTTCATGTGACTTGAGGTGGACAGTGGACTACAATAACATCAGACTGGTGAGTTATCTGTCCTGACAAAGAGGCAGTTTTGTCCTATGAGCTGGGGCGATTACATTTCATTTACAAATCTGGCACCTTGGGTTGCCAGTAGCCTATTGGTTAGTGTGCGTGCCCAATGTGTGGAGGCCATAGTCCTCAAGGCAGGCGGCCTGGGTTCAGCTCCAACCTGTGTCTCCTTTCCTGCTTGTCATTCCCCGGGCTCTCTCTCCCTGGTTTCTGAGTCTGTCCACTGCTCTCTCTCTCGAATAAAGGCATAGAAAGCCACAAAAAAACTTCTGACACCACTATTGCTGTCCTGTGTCTACAGAACACTGTCAAGATCAATAATTTAGAGCCATAAATTCATTTTGTCTGAACACCAGATCCCTCTGATCATCAGAGTACTGTATGTTGTCCTTTTAACCATTCATCCTGGAGAAGTTGTATTTTGCTACTATTTATATTTAGTTTGGCAAACCCAGAAATGGTAAACGGACTTGAGCTTGTATGGGGCTTTTCTAGTCTTCAGAATACTCAAAGCACTTTTACACCCATTCACACATAAAGTGACCATCACAGGTATCTAATCCCATTTATACACATGCATACACCGCCAACGAAGCAGGAGGAAGTATCGGACAGGTTGCTGCAGGAGCTGGGGATCAAATTCCCAACTTTCCGGATGAGAGACGACTGACTCTTATCATCTGAGCCACAGCCGCCCCTAGAAAGCTCAGTTACACATGAAATGCAAACTAAGTTGAACTATCGTAGCCTATCACAACGCGTCTGCGGATGCGCAAGTACTTAAACATTAATCGAATAATGTCAACAATGAGTACAGGGCTGGGCGATATGGCCCAAAAATAAAATCCCAGATTTTGTTTACACCACACCGATTTTAATTTTTTTTCTCAAACAACCTACAAAACACAGAACAAGAAATTTATCAAATACGATTTGTTTTAACAAAAATACTTTACCAAACCATTTTTTTATATAAAGATTTTACATCAGACAGTGGTTTGCTCAAGGTTGGACGCTGCAAAACCGAGCTGCTTCCAGACGACTGAGGTGACTGGGCCTTTTTTTGGAAACTAACTTTTCACTGTTACTGTATTAGCGCATGCTGCCATGTTGACGTTTCCACTCACTAGTTTGAGAGACATCTTTCAGGGGGAGGGGGCATTACTATGGACTACCGGAGTCCAGAGAAGCAGCGGAGGTTGTTTACCGTAGTTATCCATGTTTAAGTGAAAATCGATTAGGCGTATTGTGCGTTCTCTAAAAACCCCATGCCTGGTTTGCCCGGAGGTCTAACAGCATAAGTGTGTAGCGTAGCGAAGTCACATTGTTGGATTCCTTCAAACAACAACATGCGCTAGATGGATAGCTTGCATCGCATTTGACCAAAAGTAAATTGTAGAGCATGTATCAAATGTAGAAAACTGTAAAGTTATTCACACATTCAACATAAATAACAATGAGCAACCCGAAGAAGGTCCAATAGTAACTAGCTGAAAGGGGCACATCACCATCGATATATCAATTCTCAATTCTTCTTCAAAAAAAATCTGACGCTTGAAAGTGAGGTGGAGGTTAGACAGCAGATATTATTCTGTGGATAGGGACCTCATAAAAAAGCCTATTTACTGCATCAACTCTAGCAGTGCCGTTGCACCCATCGGCAGCATTACGCATGAGTGTCACAAATACATTTATAGCACAGCGATTGAATAAAACTTTGTATGACATCACGTTTATTATGAGTGTAATCAATCAAGCCTCAAAGTGATGCTTTCCACCACACTGACTTTACTACGGGCTGTGGGTAAAGAAAGAAAATAAATCACAGTTGAAACACTTGTGCAACATGAGACAGTAAAAATAATAAGCTACTAAGTTGTCTGATGTGTGTTTTAACAGGCATACTGTGGCTGCAGAGCATCCTGTTTATAAAGCCACATTCACTCTGCGACAGGGAGTGATTCATATCTTGATGAATTCATGCACTTCCTGGAGATTCCATAGCTCAAAGACCGAGTCTGACAAGATCCCACATTTCATTTACATTTGTTGTTGAAAGAATTTCCCCTATGGTCGGTTTAAAATGTAGATGATGGGAACAAATGCCTGCCCTTGCTATGTCAAATAATCCATTTGTCTTTTTGTCCGTTAGTTCTGCAGTCATACACTGCACAAGTCACAAAAGTTTTCTTCAGGTAATAAATAGCCGACTTACAAATTATTTTATTTTATATTTCAGAGGTGGAAAGTCCTACTTTAAAAAAATCTGGGTGAAAATTGTTAAAATAATTCTAGCATTAATCTCACAACTAAATATTTGTGCAAGGGTTGAATTTTTTTTTAATGTATTTGCGCACAAATTAGCCCTATTTACCAATAACAAGCATAATTATAGAATATGTTGAATTTGTCTAAACTATGAAATTATTTGGTTTAAGTTAGATACTATGTTCTCATTAAGGTGAGAGGAAGTTCTTTTTCGTTGAGGTTTGTTTGTTTTTTTGTTAAGAGGAAGGTTTTGCTGATGTTGTGTTGAAATGAAAAGGAAGGTGGACACAGAGTTGAGAGGTGTAATCCAAACAAGCTCTTCCTCCTCTTTGCCTGTGCTGTTTTTGTGCCGGTCCCATGGAGGTGGGACAGAGCTGGTGAGTCACTGGCCGAGCTTCATGGTCAAAACTGCACTCTGCACGCGAGGGTCAGAGGTGAGGTTTCCCCAGTTAGCTCTGCTGCGTTGGGTAAACTCTCCCATCCTTCCTCCTTCTGTTTGGTGCCTCCGTGTCACTTTCTCTGAGGTGAGTCACCTTATTCTGCCCAGGTTTAGTTGTCTCCAGACACGTTTTATTTTTCTTCCTTATTTCTAGTGTAAGCTTTGCCTTTACTGCTTAAGAGCAGTCTTATGTAACTGCAGACTTCCTTTAACGCTAATTTAGAGGTTTTAGCAGTACTTAATAAAGATAAACACTTTGCATATGCAAAGATTTTCTCCTATTACATCAGACATTAACCTTTAACAGGATGCTTTCCTTTTGAACTGACAGTAATGGTTCATAAGGTTTTATTGGTGACTTGATTCATACTTGAGGTTAGGTTGGATTGCAAAAGCTTTCAAATGACCTTATTTTATGGTTGTCCTTTTTATCTCCTGTTTTGTACCTTTCTTACAATACTTGGTGAGTTAATGTTTGTTAAAAGGGGTTAAAAACTGTCCACCAGGACCTTCACTGGAATATTTGTTTGCTGTTCTGTTATGATCTGACATTTTCACTGCATAGAATGTCTGTGTAGATCATGTCACTCTTTATATTCCAGTTGTATACGTCTTATTTTATTTGTATTTATCTTATCTATTCTGGTTTTTGTTTACCTACTTGTTACTTGTCTTTTTGTTGCTACAACACCTGAATTTCCCCTCTGGGGATCAATTAAGTATTATCATATCTGATCTTATTTGTATTTATCTTATCTCTTCCGGGTTTTTTTACCTACTTGCTACTTTTCTTTGTGTAGCTGCAACCCCTGAATTTTTAAAAATGTTAAAAATATGAACCTTTACTGTCATTAAAATCCCTAAAGGCAGTACAAACTCAACTGAAAGGGTTTGCAAGTAAAACAAACTAAAATGAAAGACAATTTAAAAATGTGTCAGCAATAAGAAATATTACAAATCAGTTCTTTCATTCGATCCAATTTGACTGAGAAATCGAATGCATACAGCAGACAGCAAAACGAGTCTGAATGAAACAAACACAATATTAAATTGACATGTTATGACGTGCAATTTCTTCAGTTTTAGAGCTATGCTTAAAGAGCAGAGTGGAAAGGCCTATTTGTTTAAGCCTGCTATAAAAGTTCAGTGCCTTCTTGAATATATCTGCACATTGTAACTATCATCAAATAAATAAACAATGTATGACATAGGCAATTCAATTATCCAACGGCATTGTTGATTTGTATTTTAGAGTAAGTTTGAACAAGATTATATTCATACAGTCGTCTCGTTGTGTTACTTGGTTTGACAGGTCAGGAAACTATCTTTATTATCAACGTGCTTAAACCGATTTGCAACATCACATGCAGCTTTATGTTATTGCCACAACATATTGCGTTTCAAGTGCAGCCTGCACTGTGCGCCACATTGTTAGTTTATGTTGCTGCACTTAAATGTTTACAGATGTAAATGATCCCAGCGTAGTTTTCTCAGGAACATAAACAGACTTGCAGTGGTTAGTGCAGACTGCAGGGATAATTAAACATCACATAATCACAGAGCGTAATGGACAAACAGTCAAGTTACTGGAACGTATTTCTTTCACCACAGAATGAAAACAGTATTGTCTTCAGTGTGAATCATTACAGTGTGTCATGGAAGTTATTATCCTGCGTGCTGCTGCTGTGGGAAGTGTGACTTCCAATCTTTTCCCTTTTCCAGCATCTGCAATCATGCAGATAAAGAACCTTCCACATAGTGAATTGGTTTAGTCCCCATCACTCTTGATTAAAAGAGATTTGGGGATTCATGACTTATTTATATTGGAATATTCTCACATTATTCTGCTCAGTATAATAGTATTTACTGCCATAACTTGACATTTCCTGCCGGCTGATAGGGTCTCTTTATTTTCAACAATATTTTCTCAGGCATGGCTAAAAATAAAATGGTTTAAGGGCATAAAATTAGAATGGCCCCTCTTATGGGAAGCATATTTCCTGTCAACAAAGATAAAAATCTTCATCAGTTATGGTGCAAAATTACCAATATACTGTATAAAGAGAAACGGCTGTGAGATAAATACGTTTTACTGGTTCTGGCTCTTTCAATGCCATGCAGGGTGTGTCGGTTATCTCAACAAGTAATTGCTTGTATTTCATGTTTCATGAGGACATGCCTCAAGGAGCCAGGTTTCAATTCTCCAGCATCATTTGGGTTCACATCCTCTTCCCCTTCACTAAATTATTTTTTTTGCTTTGCTTAGCACTCTAGCAACATGAATTGGTTACATCTAAGTGGCTGACATGGCATGTTTCTTGAAAAGCTAAGACAATCTCAATGTTTAAGAGTCAACACTTCCCAAAGATCAGTCCCAAAATGCCTAACATCCAACCTAGATCACTGATGTGAAGAAAAAAAAACAGTTTTAAATTGTCAAGCTAATTCTTTTGCACGGTTTTGCCCAGCTATGGTGTTATATTTGCTGCTGTTAAAAGAAGGAAAAAAGTCCACACACTGTTCAGCTGGCAAAGGGCAGTTTAATTCAAACAGGATAACTTTTCGATGTACAAGACCTGCTGCTCATCTCTATAATATCATCTAGAGCTGAAGCGATTGGTCAATCAAAGAGATCAGTCAAGAGATCAAAAACAATCTGCAAAAATGTCTGCAAAATAGATGCTTGAAATGGAAATAGATAAATGCTGCAATCGTGAATTGAATATCTTTGGGGTTCAGGTTTAGGCTTGTATGTGCTCAGTGAACTTGTGAGACAAATACTCTTTTATGGCTTTTTCTGAAATAAAATAGATGTACTGAAATAAGTATTTATCAGTTTGTCAAGAGTAAATAGGGTAAATATATCTGTAAGTTCCAGCAAAATATTGGAATATTGTTGAAGTCTGTTTTTACCGTCCATGTGTTTTTCCACTCTAGCACATTGTGTTAGATGTTCATTGTGATCTGTTTGGTAGAACAGCAGGTGAAAGTACATTTGTTGTTAAAATGTTTATTATTAGTCATACCTTGGCTGTTCAATCCCTGTTTCAGCTTAATCAATGCTTTCGAGGCTTCTTGTTTCATATACTTTACTGTCAACATACCATGGGGTACACACTGTTGTCAGGACCTTGGACTTGTCCACTCTTCAGTCTGTGATGTCACGACTGTTCTACAAACAGATGGACAAAGTTTGCACCACTGAGCAGATTTGTAGGACAACACACCCGATTTCTGCTTCGTCTAATACAAACATACAAAATGGGACACTCTTTCCTCTCTGTCAGTTTGTTGTTAAGAAGTCAAACATTGCACAAATCTGTTCAGGAGACACATTTCCAAACCATTACCGTCTGGTTTCTACCATGGAAGCAATTTCCACCTCTCAGCCTTCAATCTCCTTTTCAACATGTCACTTGGTCAAATTAGTTCATTTTATGAACAGAGAAAACCAGTCACTTTAAAAAATGTAATGCTGCACTGATTAAACATTTATCAGCTGAGTTTCCTCCTCCTGTCAATGCTCCATTTAGACTAGAAATAGCAACTCATCACACCTCTTAAGGCAAAAAAAAAAAAAAAAGGAAATCCCTGAGCAAAATTACATGACATAGAGCTCTCAGTACATCTGGAAGCTACATGGAAGCGATGCTGTGTCAGACATTTCTCCCCAAAGAATTGCATGTTGCCTCTGCAATTTGGATATTACACTCTGGATTGTGTTTTTGATACTATATGATCAGCTGAACTGTCTTAGCCTATAGTTTGGGTTGAACAGGATAAGCCTGGCCATCAAGTCCTCTGATGGACACTCCTGCATGAGTCAGGTCCACTGCTGGGAATCATCCAGTTCAGATGGGAGGCTTATTAAGGATACCAGCCTTTACACAATGGTCTTGTTTACTTTACAATAATAGAATGAAGCTCTGAATGAAGAGTAAAAATACCAAACTGCTGTACAAAACTCTAGAGGGAAAATGTAATTATGTTTATAAAAAGACTCATCCAAACTACAGTCTTGGCAGGACAAACTCTTTTCCTCTTTTCTTTAAAAAATGTCCTGCCAGTAAGTCATATTTTCACAAGCTGCTGTCTGCAGTTCAAAGGCTTCCTGTTATATCAAGAGGTACAGTGAAGATGAGCTGCTGCAATGTGACATATTAAGCTGCTTGTTACTAAAACGGAGGTACAGTCATTCCATGAACAGTGGTCTTGCATAATCAGATTAAATTAAAACCAAACTACTGTTTCATTTAACATCAGTAAAAAAGGGAAAACTCAACACTGTCATTATCACTCAGCTCAACCTATTACACATTCAACCACAGAGACTTTCAGGTCTCGAGCTGCAAGTTTAAGATCTTGCCAGAATTTGAATTCTCTACCTGGCTCAGTAAGGTACACTCAACTCAGCCTACCACGTGTTACTCCTACATCTCTCTTTGTACCATAGTGGGCTGAATCGGCTGTGCTTTTCCCACGCTCCTCTCTGTCCAGGCTTGTCCCAGGGTAAAACTATGCTGCCTCAGTGCTTTTAAGATTCCAGATCCACACTAACAACATCCATATGCAGAGGTCTAAGTCAGTGTGTGTACTGAGAGAAAGGTTCTAGTTCATTTGTGTTATTGTACCCTCTGGCTTCCAAAGCTAGCACACAAAATAGACAAATTGAGTTCAAGTTTTTGTCTTGAAAGGGATACGTTTGTTATTAGAGGTGGGGGGGAAAATCGAATTATGTGAAAATTGAGATTCTTCTCTTCTAAGATTTAAAATCGATTCATAACATCCAAAAAACAATTTTGTATTTTTTAGGGGGCTAATCAGTCACTCTCTGCAAAGTGCTAAGGCTAGCATGATTTTATTCAATCCAATCTCTCCTAAACACTTTTTACTTGAAAGAAATGTGTTTAGCTAGTGTTCCATTTCTTTTTTTTCTTTCTTTTTTTCAAAGGTTTATTTTGGGGCTTTTTATGTCTCCATTTGAGAGATAGGATAGTGGACAGAGTCCGAATCATGGAGAGAGATAACGGGGAATGACTTGCGGGAAAGGAGCCGCAGGTCAGATTCGAACCCTGGCCGACTGCTGAGAGGACCACAGCTTCTGTACATGGGGCGCACACACCATCCACTTGGCCACCGGCTTCCTGTGCGCCATTTCTAAATAACATATTGTTGTGTTTATTATGCTGCACAAACAAATACTATTGCCTTCGAGTCTTGGCATAAACTTGACTCACTCAAAAAAACATGTTGTGGCTGTTTCACCATTTTCCCTGAGGAGTCACTCATAGTTTTTTTAAAGACAAGGCTGTGCTTGAACGTTCACTGACGTAAAACAGCGTTCAGGAATGCTTGGCCTCCTTTCGGCATTACGCAGTGTTTTGTCAAAGCGCTTCACCACAAATGATCTGAGGAATACCAGAACAATTTATCATTCATGTGGAAATGAGAGCAGTGGAGGAGAAAGAGAGGAAAAGATACACACTTTTAGAGACATAAAGTTGTAGTAAGCTTGTTTTTAAAGGGGAAATAAAACTGCTTTCGATGATTGTTGCTGAGTGAACGCTTCTTGTGACCTCAGGGTGACACTGAACAGAAGTGTTCCAGTAAGTTGTCAGCTGCTCTGATTTCAGAATGTTGCTGTAGCTTTTCCTCAACTGCTGTTCAACCCCAGCTTGTTGTGTTTATGTAACTGCTTATGTGTGTGTTTCCCAGCCATGGGTCTGAGTTCAACACTGAGAAGCCTTCTGTTTTTCCTCGGGACGTACAGGATTTGTTCAGGATTTGTGCAAGGTAAGCAGTTTTCTAATAAGACTACATTTATACTATGAGAGCTATGATGGCACTTCTAAACTGTATATAGTCTTCATACACTTTTTTAATGTTTTAAACATGTTGCTTACAGTATCACAGTTCATAATTTTTGGTCTTGTATAACTTTAACATCTAATTCAGTTGGAAAGAGGCATGCTGTCGCCCTCTTGTGGCCATTAGTATAACTGCAGAAACTTCTCTTGATGGTTTGAAATCTGAGAAGATGATGTGAAATGATGACATGCATTGATGCAACAGCACACATTTTTCTACCAGACTAAATCTGATAAAAGGATAAGAAAATCTCTGATGTAAGAGCCTAAAGAGGAGCTGGAGACAGATAGATGGTGTGGTGTTTAACTGGATAACTGGCCCCTGGTGCAGTCCCATATTTTTAAGTGTTTAAAGTACTCAAGTTACATCTTCTTGCCAGTCCTCAGTGATTCTAATAGATAGGTAATCTAAAAAAATATTCCCACACTGATTTTTTTATTTCTTTGGTGAAAAAAGAAAGGCCCACCAGTCCTCCTGAAATGATCAAGATATTTTCAGGAGTGCATTATGTTAAAACAGCTCACTCTTGACCAAATTCCCATAAAAAACTGTCTAAAACCAAATCACCTAGCCTTAGAAGATGTATCTATATCAGGCAGGTTCTCTCAGAGTCAATCAATATGAAATCACTAAATAGTTAATTGATCCCCTTGTGATGATTGTTTTGCAGAGAACTGTATCAACTACAAACTCCAGTTCGAGAGGGTTTATTCTGTTCCCGGTGAGGTAGCTATGCTGAACAGCACCCTTGTATCTCCGGATGTCTTCAACTTCACAAATGTGCCTTACAACATCACCTGGTATGACTCAAGAACCGGTCAAGAAATAAACAACCAGACCGGTCGAATGTTGGTGCAAGGGGAGACTCTGTGGTTTCTCAGGATAACACTGGAAGACGATGGAGAATATGTGACCATCCTGAGGTACATTTTGGTGTTTCTTTTTCTAGAAATCTTTAGCTTACATATTTTAATCATAAGAAAGAATAACATGTGCATGTTCAACAAGTCATGTAATGTAACATATTCATTAATACAAATTTTTTTTTGATTTCCAACAGGACTCCCTCTCAGTGCTACATGCAGTCCACCAAGCTGATAGTGGATGAACCCATTCCTGGAGAATGTGGGAGGCCACAGAAAGTTGGCCAAACACTTACAAAGGGAGTGACTGACAAGCTGTCCTGCCCTCTGTGGGACCACATCAACAAACTGAATAGCTACAATATCGCCACTTCCGTCCAGTGGTACAAAGTGAGTTCTGGGACGACTTACTTTGACTTATTGACTTTGCTCCACTAGTTGTACAGCAGTTCTGCTTGGCGAAGTCAATACAGACATTATCTGGAGCTAACTGTACAATCATCCAGTTCAGGAAAATATGTAGAATTATTTAAAATTAATGACATTAACAAAAGGCATAAGTACATCTAATATAGACATCATAAGATAATATCGTATCGTACAACTTAAAATGTATATCTTACTCCAATAGTCGACAAATATTCATGATACTAAATAGGCTGAATTATTTTAAAAATCAGCTCACACCGTATAAAAAACCACTCACAATGATGGAATCCAGAGGCTGAAGATGCTACTAACTAGGTAGATACATGATGTGTGTCTACTGTCTCTAGCCAAACTATTTCTTTCCTCTCTCATCAAGGGTTGTGAGCCCATAGAGGATGGGACAGGAAGGTACACCTACTGGGATATGACCAAACTAAGGATTGATGGGGTGGATTCTCAAAACAGCGGCTCCTATACATGCACTTTGTCCTTCACTCTTGGTGGGGTTATGGGATCTATGTCAGAGACCATCAATGCAGAGATCAGAGGTAAGAACAGATGTACACTACATGGGAAAAGTCCCTGGACACCATTTCATTACACCTATAGAAACTTGTTGAGCATCCAATTCTAAAACCATGGACAGTTATATGTCAAATGTAGTTCAGAACTGTGTTTCATTAACCAGTAAACAATGGGTGTGGCAGGAACACCCTCACTCAAGAACTTGAGTATACAATAGGAGTGGACTTCATATTATTTTCCACAACAAAACTAAACCTACTATGTTATACACTTTAATTTTCTTAATCGCAATCATCACAATCATCCACTAGAGGGAAGCATGAAGTCACAATAAATATTAAGGAGGCAGGCAGAAGTGTTTTCTGGTATCACTACATATCTCATCTTTGATTTTGATTCTTCATTTCTTGTTTGTCTATTTAGAGGAGTATGGTATGGTTCCACAAGTGCATGAACCTGTCCATGAAATAATTAAGGCAGACAAAGGTGAGTACCTTCAGAAATATTATTGAGTTCAATTGAAATGTCTGTTGTTTTAATAGAGTCAGCCTTCATTCACACAGAAGTTGTCATTTTGGACCAGAAAAAGCAAAGCCTCTTGATTGCTTTAAGTAACTTTGTTGGTGAAACAGTGTTGATGGTACTAGTAATGTTAGGAAAATATTTTGAAAGTTTAATTTTGTCCAATAGGTTAACAGAAATAAAGGTTGTTTTAAAGTGTAATTGGTGCTATTATTTCTGCAAGGCTCCAGTTTTAGCAGGCGGTGCCTGGTTTTTGTTCCCTGCGTTGGGATGCCCTTTGTTGATGTCATGTGGTTGGTTAGGGATGGTTTCATCAGTACTAACCCTGCCAACCGTGTCTACACATCAGAAGAACGGTTAGTACCCTTACCTTTCCTTTTAACTTAATTTTGTTTTATCTGCTCTTTTTTTATGTAAAATACAATATCTCAAGGTGCTTGATGCACATAAAAAATAATAACAGGCCTGCAATATTACAGAAATAATGTGTGAAAGTTCTTCAATATCAGAGGTTTTCCCAAAATTGGGAGGAGGAAAATCCCTCCCAGCAGATAAAATCGGTTTTATTTATTGGAAATTGACAATTGGAAAGTGACTTCAGTGCTTAAACTTGAACAGTAGTCATGGAAGACCAATAGACACTCACAAGGAGCATCATTTGGCTTCAATAGACTACATACTTGTCTTTTACCAATGAAATATTAAGCAAATTAAAAAATAAGACTTTTAGAGGGTCCACTAATTTAAGACCAATTTTCACTATTTTTTGTCATGTATCTTTTCTCACCAGTGTGTGGAATCAGGATATTCCTATCAAAGGACTTTGGATTGAGAAGGTGCTGATGTTTTCTGAGCTAAGGGAAGAGGATTTTGGCGTCAACTACACGTGCCGAGCGTACAGTACCAGAGGCTTCCCTCAGGGATATTTTACTCTGTTACCAGCAGGTATAAAACACTGAGTAAGCCTGTTAATGAAAATAAAGTCTTGAAACAAAGCTGACACCTAATGTTGTTTTTTGTTATCCAGGGAGAGTTCAAAACTCTTACACTCAATTTAATATCACAGAGGACAAAGAAAACTAGCAGATATTGACAATTTAGAAAACTGTGGGGAGAAGGAATTCTGCTTCACAAATTACCCCTTTATTAAATAGTAATTACAATGTTTGCACCACAAAAAAAAGACCAGAAGTATATTGACCTTTTTCCTCCACAATTATATATACAGGTATCCACTTCTCTAAACACATCCATGGTGGAGACCCAACCTAAAATTGTTTGTCTGGTTATGTGTGACATTCGTCTCTACAGATCCCAACATCATACTACCCATTGGACTGGTGCTTGGAGGAATGATGGTTCTCTTTATCAACAGCATCATCATCTACTACCTTTTTAAGGTTGACATTGTGCTGTGGTTCAGAAGAGCATTTCCAGTCCTCTATCCAAATAAAGGTAATATTTCCCACCAGGATTATACATATCAATGTGCTCTCTATCATAAACACATTCACATTTGAGCTCTTAAAAGGCTTTATCAAAATGGAAAAACAAGGTAGTATTTTCTTCCTCTTTTAAGAAAAAATATTAACAGTAAAGGTCTGTTTGGTAAAGTTTAGACATATGGTCACAATACAATATTATTTTAAACAAAGATGCGATACTAGTAATTAAAACAAATCAAACGATATTGATACCTTTTTGGATACCTCAGCAAAAGAAATACAATTTATAGGCACCCAAAATTTTATATATTTTTATTTTTAGCTCCAAAAATACTGTAGGAGCCAAAATGCATGTTTTGGATTCAGGTGTGTGTTTAGTTATAAGTATGACTATAGATCTGTATTTTTCTTTTTTAAAGTTTCTTTGTGATACTATCGGTCAATGACCAATCTGAACAAGTAGACTTTATTGGTCTGCCTAGTGTCTACAATGTGAGCAGTTGCCATATGACAATAGTATTACAGTAGACAAGACTGTATAGCCTGCAAATGGCCTTTGAAAAGTGTCAACGTTTAGACCCAAACCACAATTCTCCTAGGTGGAAAAACCCACAGTAATCTTGAGCTTAGTTTCCACACATACAGTTCCCACACATACATCTTAACCGACAGACTCTCCCACAAGATCTCATACCTGCCTACATGTGCCAACAGTGAGGCCAAACAAAAGAAACAAGCTGTAACCACAAGACTACCTGCAGTATTTCTGCTGTAAAGTCATCAGCTGCTTTTGCAACAGACCAACCTGTCACTAATCTGCATGTTATCATTTTGCCTGCAGCTCATTGGTATAAGGCCTATGCAGTTAGTCAATGAAATCAGGTAATTGTTTAATAAGACAACCTTAAAGCCTTCATGACTACATTAACAGAAAAAACAGTGGACAGTCAATACTGAGAAATGGGAACCACAGTCTTGCCCATATTGTTTGAAATGTGGAGAAAGTAGGGCATAAACACCAAACAAGAGCACTAAGCAACAGAGACACTTACTGAGAAGCCTTCGCCATTTCAGCAATTTAGGTCATTGTGCAACAGTTAGGAAACAAAATAAATTAGGTCATTAGGCGTGATACGAGAGCTTGTGTTATTAAAAAACATGACAATGTTTCTCATCAAGGTGAAAGCTGTCTAGCGATACAAGTACATAGGGGTAGCCAACATGACGGAGTCTGATGTTGAACTAGAAATGACCATTGAAGATGCCCCCGGTCCCACTACAGAAACACCAACCAACCAGATAAACCGTTAATAAAGTGTGTATTTTTCTGTTTCAGATTTAGATGGGAAGCTGTATGATGCCTACGTGGCGTATCCACAGCCATGTGCCACTGGATTTAGTGAGGAAGTGGAGGACTTTGCCCTTCATACTCTGCCTCAAGTGTTGGAAAAGGCCTGCGGCTACAAACTCTTCATAGCGGGCCGTGACTGTCTACCCGGGGGGGGTAAGTCACCTACATGGCAGAGGCAGTTTTGAAGTACTACTTTCCTCTGAGGATTTGTCTTTAAGTCCTGGATTAAAGGAGTTAGAGAATAGATCTCATTATCCATCTATTTTGTTTCTCTTCATTCTGTCTCCTCCTACAGCCATAGTGGACTCCGTGGAGGAGAACTTACGAGTCAGTCGCTGTGTCCTTCTGCTCTACACCGCCTCCACCTTCACCAGCAAAAGACACACAAGCAGTACTAGCAGCAACAATAACAACATCTCTAAGATCTGTGACACCAATGAAAACAGCAAAAGCAAAACCCCAGAGGACAGTGACAGCATGAATTATTATGATGATAAAGAAGTCTATTCAGACACAAGGCAGCAGTTTGAGTGTGTGGCAGCAATGTACAGAGCGCTTCTAGAGGGATCTCTCAAGGTGAGAAAACAAACTTGTTAATGAATATACTTTACAACAGAGATCCATTAACTATTATAAACACAGATTGCATGCATACAGTGTATGAAATGTGTATGAAAACTCACAGCCAATAACTAATTGTACCTACTGGTAACTACAACTACGTCAAAGAGAGAAAATTACTTTGGTTGATTGAGGGATGATTTGATTAATGTGGTACAAAATTCTTCAGCATATTTTCAGGGATTTTGAAGTTCATGGTCACATGCTCAGAACAGCTGATTCTAAATGAGCTCTGCATTTCAGGTGGTTCTGGTGGAGTTGGAAGAGATCAGCCCAGCTCAGCTCGCTCTCTTCCCAGAGTCGGTGCGTCAACTAAGGAAGAAGCAAGGTGCTGTGTGTTGGTGGAAGAACTTAGAGAGGAGGCATAGGTCTGTGACATGTGACATGAGGAGGAGAGAAGATGAAGAGAAAAGTGGACAGGACACACAGCGGTCTCCATCCCTCTCTCCCTCCTCCAGGTTTTGGAAGGAGATGAGGTATCATATGCCTGTGAGGGGAAAGAGGGATGTGTTTCCCGAGAAAACTGCCCTGCTGAATTTATGATGGGGTTATAGCTGGTTTCAATATAAATGTGGATGGGATTAAGCCCCCTCTCTCACTTGGAAAATTTGAGTTGTTAAAATGTGCAGATCATTACTGTGTTTGTGTTATTGCTGAGGTTTGCGAATTGTTGATGTTCTCTCGCAGGTTGAGACTGATGTTGGCTTTTAGTTATCAAATGTACATATGTATAATAAAGACTGTAAATGTGTAAATAAATGTTCCTCAAGTAATGTAAAAAGTCAAGCAGCAAACTGGGAGCTTCTTATCATATAATCTGAAAATGGAAAGTGTCATGATTTGGTATTATTTAGTTTTGTATTTTCAGTGTTTCTTTATGTTCTAGTGGGTTTTGTTCATTCTTGAATTCTGTGTGTCTTCAGTGTTTCATGTATTTTATTTTGTAGTTGTCCTCAGTGTTTCTTGTGTCCATTCCTTCCTCTGTGTGTTTCCCTCCATTGTGATTGCCCTCATTGTCTTCACCTGTGTTATTAGTCTCACATGTGTTTGATTACCCCATGTCTATTTAGTCTCTGTGTTTCTTCCCTTCTGTGTCAGTTCATTGTATGTGTTTGTCGGTGTCATTTGTTGCATGTCAGTTTACCCGTGGCTCCTTCTCTTGTTGGATTTTTCGGAAGTAAGTTGTTGTTTGCCTTTTGTTTAAAGAATAAATAGTTTTAGTGAATCCTGCATCTGGGTCCTCCTCTTCGTTTTCGCGATCCATGACAGAATGAACTGACAAAAAAATGGACCCAGCAGGATTATTTTTGTTGGAATTGCTTGAGGTTACTTATAACCTCACATGCTTAAAAAATGACTTCAAATATGCTTGCTGTAACCAGGAGAGACTGGCAGCCATTTCCACGGCTCAGGAGGAAATTCTTTCTAGACCATGGCTGAAAAACTTACTCCCTGAGTGGACTAGAGACTTTTTCTCTACGCCTGCTTCGCAAGGCATCAGCTCAAGCCTCAGCTCAAGCCTCAGCTCAAGCCTCAGCTCAAGCCTCAGCTCAAGCCTCAGCTCAAGCCTCAGCTCAAGCCTCAGCTCAAGCCTCAGCTCAAGCCTCAGCTCAAGCCTCAGCTCAAGCCTCAGCTCAAGCCTCAGCTCAAGCCTCAGCGTTCCTGTTCCAGCGGAGTGCTGTCTGCCACCGGTTCCGGCGCAGCGCCGTCTGCCCCATGTTTCTGTTCCTTTTCCGGCAGAGCGTTGTCTGTCCCCTGTGTCTGCTGAGCCACGCCTGTCATCGGTGCCTTTATCTGCTGTGCAAGTTTTCTGAGACTGTCTGCTGAAATTGTCAATGTTTATTTTCATTAATGGTAACAATTTAAACTTTTTTTTTTTGGTGATTGCTTTTGAACAAATTGTTAGCCTCCAGATTAGAACTGACTGTAGACTGTCATTGGAAATGAAATATTCCTCCACATAACGAATATTGAAATCTGAGGAAACCCTGTTTTGAAAATCCTGGAAGAAGTTTCATTTCCTGATGAGGTTTTGAACGGTTGAACATGCTCGGTTAAAAAACAAAGATTCTTCACAGGAAACCAAAGTGGAAGACTTATTCTAGTTGCTCATTCCTCATTTAAAAACAGAGCGGTCTGTTGAATACATTTGTTGACCATATTATACAAATCTCCAATGTTTCTGCTGAACAATTTAAAGAGCATATTGGGCTTTTTTGTGGGTTTTTTTCATGCAGCAAAATTATTTTCTTTTCTTACACTAAAGAAATAAGCTTTAGAAGAATTTTTTTAAAAATCCTAGGGACAGAGTTTTTCCCTGAAAACTGATAGTAAAAAATACTACAACAAGCTTTGTTTCATGTACTGGAGTTAGTCAATCAAACCCTCAAAGCAAAGAGGAGAGGTAGATTCATTCAGTAGGTGAATAGACTTAAAAAGTGTATTGTTGCTTCACGTTACAGAGTGAATTGATTAAATAGATGTGACTTGTGTCAGTAAGATGTTCTGTTTTCAGACGTTAAAGCCAACAAAAAAAAAAAAAGGGTTCTTAAGTGTGCTCAACCAGCTTTATGAGGTCTTCATTGTAGAGGGAAAACCTGCATATTTCACCCCCACGTCAACAGCAATTGAGGTCAGGTAGCCTATATTTCAGAGCGTGAGTTGGGGTGAATCATTGCAGCTCACCTTTACTGCGCTGTGAGTGGTGTTTTTTTCTATAGTGAGTGGAAGTTTCATACAGAGGTTAGTGGTATAAAATGAAGAGAAGACAGAAGGCAGAAAAACCCAGCGTCTTCTAATAAGTTTACTTCAAGTGAGAAGAGCCAGTTTTTTTTTCCCCAGCAATCTGGTAAGTTGGAAATTACTATAAAGTTAGTCACAACAGTCTGCAGCATATGAGGCTCTTTCAGGAAGTTTTCCCTGCTTCATGTGTAGAAGTCTTGAATTTACATAAAGGTGTATGAATTTTCATTATGTATACAACATATATTTGATATAACCTGCGTCACCACTGTATTGTTAATGAGTGTGTCGTACTGATCTGGAATGTAAAAGGTTAGCAGTGCTTTGTGGGGCACCTTGCTACAGTCATGACTAAATTAACAGCTTTTTACTAACTGACTGTCAGTGAAATATTAAAAATGTATCTTGGGTAGGACCAAAACTGGTGATACTCAATATATTTATGGATATTTTTTTCTATAAAGAAATAAAGATATCAAGGTAAGTTCTAAGTCAAGAGGGATTATGTTCAACTAACAGCAAATAAGGTGTGATACACAGTGAGTAGGTTGTTAACCCCAGACAGGATGATGCTCTCTGTTTTGTGTCATCCTGTAGGTGTTTATTTCCTATACAATGACCGACTCACTGTACATTATATGGCGCACAGCTCGGATCAGTTTTTACTGTATCGCTCAAATTGTATGACTATAATAACTGATTAATTAGACAAGATAAAAACATAAATATTTTAGTACAACAAGGGTTAAAAAGCAATATTATAGGAAAACCACACTGCAAATTTAGAATAAAAGTACTTCAGTGAATGACAAAGACTGCTGAATCATTTCTTAAAGATAGAGAGATAGGTCAAGTGATGCACAGAGAGAGAGCTCCTCTTCCAAATAAAAGCCAATCAGTGGAACTTCCTGGGACTTTACTCGGAGAGTTTGCTGCTTGCCTACCTAGTGCGAGCTGTTTGAACTGCATGTCTCACTTCCCTTTACTGGGAGAACTTAAGCTAGTTCACCCTTCAGGAAATGTGTCAAGCACCCTTATTTATTGCAGAGTACGTGCGACTGAAAACATGACCAGAGTCTTAAAGCTCACACAAGACTTTTGTGTAATGGAGCCAGTTTTTTCCAACAGATAAGGACCATGGCAGTGGCAGGTTGGGTCTTCCTTCTGGCTGCCCTGTTGTCTCTGGGATTTGCACACAGTAAGTACTCATAATCACAATTCTTTTCAGCCCTTAATAGACTGAAGAAACTTCTGATTTCACTCATTTCTAAAACTAGACTCATGCTGTGTAAAAGGAAATGTATAACTCAAAGCTGTTGTATAATAATTGATTTACAATAGTTGTTGATTTACAGGTTAGAGCACTTTTCAGTTTCAGTCTTCCTTTAAAAGGTTAATATGGACTTTAAAACCGTAAATGCGTGTGACAAGGGAAGGTGAAAAAATTTAAGTGCTTAGAATGTAAGGTATGAAGATATAAGGTCTATGAGACGTTAACATATTAAAACCACATTTGTTAAACAATGAAGTGAAAGTAAGTTCATAGACCTCATGTTGCATTACTGGTTTTCCTGTTTTTGAGACACTGTTAAAGAGATACTTGAGAAACCTGCTTTGGAATTGTACGCTGGGAATTTAATCTAAACTCAACTCTCAACAACTATAACCTGTTCAAAGCATACAAATACCTCAGAGATAATGAAACTGTAACACAAGATTTTGAAACTTCACAAAAGTTTTTACACACTTTAAGAGTCATCATGACATAAACAAACCCCACAAAAGGCAAATGTAACCCTATTCCAGTCCTTTGAAACAGCAGTGCTGTACCAGGCAATCAAATACGGATAATTTCATATTCTATTATTTAGCTTCCTTCACACGGGGCTGGTACAGAACAAAAACACACTTTTTCAATTATGCAAATAGTAATCAAAAGCTGAGGCATGAGGATGTAAAGCTGCAGGGAGGACTGACGGCTGGTCTAAAGTAAGCCACACTCGGCAAAGCAAATTACATTGCTTACCCACAGACAATTTTGAAAAAATTTCACTCAATTTAAATTGTTTTCTGTGTGTTTTCATATCTTTTGACTATAGTCAGTTAAATAGAATTTAAATTTCCGTGGAACCGACTTGGAAATTAGTTGGCTGGGAACAGCCCTAGTTTTCAGGCTGTTGAGGTCTTTTACAACTTTCACCTTGGCTTAAAACAACCTTTAAAACTGTGGTTTCCAGGTCCACTTGAGGCTGGCTCCAAAATACCCAGATGTCACATATACACCCATTAAAAATGACCATTTTAACAGCTGAAATGAATATGTTTACAGCCTGGTCTGAGTAGTTATAGACTTTATCGGCACACATTGTACCAGGGAGGATTTTTTTTATAATACATCTGTTTTGATTTTATTAACGATACAAGTCATGTATAGTTAGGCATAATGTATGTGTTTGTCAGGAGTCTTAAAACCCACCTCAGCAGCTCTTACCCTGTCGTTAGGCTGACTTAAAGTTAGTCTGAGACAACATTTCCAGCACGGCAAACACCAAAAACGCGCTCCCAAAGCCCGCTGCAGTAACCAATAGGTGACTTCACTCAGGCTTCTTCCACTATCAATTACAGTCTATGGTCACATATTGCAAAACTGAACAACTTAGGACGACAAAGAAGACCTTTTGGGAGCCAACTCACTGTATTTGAGCTAGTGCTTGCCATCATGCTGACATTTTACATTATGTGTGAAAATACTCCAGGCATTACTCCAGTATTACAACCGGAGCTCAAAGAAGAAGCTCTGTATTGTAATCTTCCGAGTTACAGAAACATTAAATTAGTTTTTGTTTTTTACATCTTCCAAACAACAAAAAATCATGTCGCTAGATTAAATTGTTTATTGCCCAGCTTGACGGCCATAATATATTGGAGACACACTTGTTTGCGGTTAAAACAAAAAGCAGGCTTCAACCTGTCACTTCTCTTACTATATAGGCCAAATTCCGCAAACATTTACTCTAACTCTTTTATGGTTGAGTCTCCAGGAAATCTCTGACATGAAAGACGTCAGCACCGCTTCACAAAGGAAACTGTACTCTTAGTGTGAGGTTACACAATCAAACACTTCTACATGTAAGGCTTAAAATAGGTCATAGCTTCTAAGATTGACTTTTGAAAACAACTACAGTCAATAAGTGTCCTGCTTGGTGAACGTTTTAGTACCTGAGCCGTCAGTCTTATATGATGTATGAGTCTGCTAAAGTAAAGCCAAGTTGTGTTGTCAAAAACAAATCAAACCCACTAAAGAAACATGATGGCTTGTGCACTGTGATATATTCTCCGCCAGACCAGATTCAAGTCTCTACAGGACGATTTTTATTAAATCATAAGATAGTGGAGAAAACAATGGCTACCTCAAACAAATTTCCAGTCAATACATTTTGTGCTCTGTGAAAAAAATTCCCTCTTATTCAAAGAAATAACATCGAAGGTTGATGGGATACAACATGCAAAAATGAATGGTTCTTTCAAATCCTTGTTTCCATCTAAAAACAACCATGTTTGCCTTGAATAGAGAGACAAACAAGAACCTGCTGCTTAAAACTACACTTATTACAGTCCTCTAGTACTGCCTTTATCCCAGGTTTACTTAAGCTATTTGACCCTTGCACAATAATCTTGTGCAATCAGCTGATAATAGATTCCCAACATCATTTCTGGTTAGTGACACGTTTGTGTTGGTTGTTTGATATGGTTTACAACTTTTCCTGGATGTTCCCCTTTGCAAATGTACACAGGAGCTGACAATCAAACAACAGACAATCTGCTGCTATATTATGCTCCAACAAAACACAATCACTGTTAACTCTGGGACAATAAAAGTAATTATCAAACGATATAATTTAGGGTTTTAGGGGAAAGACCAAAACAATTTCATAGTATAGGCCTTTATATTTTTTTTTTTAAAGAAACTGAAAGGTGGGACGCAAAAAACTTTTAATGTTGCATAGAGTTGCACATCTTGCAACCCTAATCATTTGTCATTACGCAAAAAAAAAAAAAAAATCCCCAAAATGTGTTCACCTTTTGTATTTTTAAGTGTAGTTTTTAACTTGTGTGCATAAACTGCAAGCAATAGCAACCATTCACGTTTACAACTTCGTAAACTTGTGGAAATTTATATTTTACACATAAATGAAGTACAGTGTAAGACCACAAGAAGACCAACTTCAGACAGGCTTAAAGACATGTGAATGCCATCAGCCACAAATTGCGAACAAAGGGTCCTAGATAACTGTTCACTGCACGGCGAACTTCAGGGTAAATTAAATGGCCGAACAATCAGTCAGGCTGTACTTTAGTTGAAGACATATTTCTTATGATAAATGTCACCCTCTGAAGCCAGCATTTACCAAGAACATGGTGACATGATATTAAAGACAGCAAGCTACAAAGCTTTCTGTTTACACACCAAAAAATCCAACATGTATATTTTTACAGTGATGTAATCTGTATTTAAGTCACAACCAATTAGACAGCCCCTAATCAGTTAACTGCCTTGTCGTAACCAGCTGTCTTACCTTGCGTGTGTGTTCAATTTGCATAAGCATTGGTCTCCATACTCAATTTCCAGGGCTTATCCCTAATGTTTACAGTCTATGGTTTACCCTGGTTCCTTACACTTCACATTTCCTCACTGTATATAAATAATAATATAAACTTTCAACTGGGAAAATAATCTACGGCTTGAATGTGACTAAAAAGATAAACATGAAAAAAGAATTACAGTAGTAGTTCAACTGTACAACAGCAAAAACCTCATCATCTCTTATACAGCCAATTACAGTCTTATGGTTATAACACTCGTTCTTCCTTTTTATGTGAATGCAGCATCAGATTGTTAGTCCAGCAGTGCCACCTTCTGGCGGTGAATGTGAAAGCAAGAAGCCAATGTTATACAGACTGATTAGTAAACAACCACACTGAATAAACATGCTCAATTGTGCCTGTTAACACATGAAAACCGAAAGCCGAATCATGAATCATGTCATCCATGTAAATGTGTGTCTTCAATTTTCTACCCTCGCCTTGACAATTCAATAAAAACAGACTGGTCTCCCTTTGCACTATCACATATAGACCACAGTGGGGAGGCAGAGATCTACCATGTAAGTGCTGGACGTCTCTTCATGCTGAGGTGTCCCAATGCTGATTCTCACACCAACATAACTTGGAGACGAGATGGGAGACACAACCAGAGCCTGCCTACTGGAGTGGAAGAGAGGGACGGGTTACTGTGGTTTCTACCTGTACAGGTGTCTCATAATGGATCCTACACATGCGAGAAAAGGTACAGAAGCTTCTGCATAACGCAACAAGTTACAAGATTCCTGACATGACCGCATACAGAGCAGAAAGCTACTTTACCACAACACATCACACACTTCTATAATCCAATTTAGTTCAACGCTACAACAAAATACCTTCAGAATGATCATACAGTTAAAACAACATGTCTCATTGTCTCAAACATTTTAAACTTTCATAAAGATAATATTTCCAACATGAATTTTGACATTGGACTGCAACTTTCAGCTAGCTGTTGGTCCTTGGATTATTTTCCAGAATAGTCCATTAATTGTTTGGGCCATTACACGTGGACAAAGTTGTGACAAATGCTTATCATGATTTTCTTGTGGTGCATTCAAGATGCCTCTTTAATCCATGCAAACAGTACAACTCTTAGAGATATATTTGCTCATAAATAAGAAAGTAAAGCTGCAAAATATTGTGATTATGAAGCTAAGAATACATTTTTCTCATCGATTATCCCAGCATCATCACAGCAGCATGTATCAACAAGTTAAATGTGAAGTTAAGCTCGTGACAGGTATTGCTTTTGAAATAGTACAAAGTACAAATATTACAGTTAGGAGTCGGAAATGTAAAAACAGTATCCTGAGTACTTATCTCATTCTGTGGTGTATTTCCCCAATGATTGCTGTTGGAAAAAAATCCTTTAGAAATCTCTTTTAAATTAACTTTTATCTCTTTTTTTTTATTTAGTCTGTGCACTCTCTGATATCCTCTTCTTTAGTGTTTTAACAATTTCCTGTTTGGGCTTCATGCCTGAATAAATCAGATGGACACAAAATGAAACATTGTGAAAATATACATTTACAACTTGGTCTACTTGTCTAATCACTCCAAGTGCACTGTCAATCAATCAAGCTTCATTAAGACAGTATAGGGTCATGTGTTGCTGAAGCTCAAGGTGTCCTGTCTTCCAGCTATCTCATTGTCTCCTTCTCTTCAGGGATGAAACTGGTTCATTCAGGATTAAAGTTGGGGTGTCAGTGTCAAGTGGAAAGTGTCCTGATCCATTAGAGACCATATCCATCCCAGAGGCTGTCAGTGACGGTCTGCCTTGCAAACAGAGTGAGATCTTTGGGTTGAATAGCACAAGGAGTATACGATGGATGAAGGTACACACAGCTGCATGATGTCACCAGCCCCTTTCACTACATTTGTGTGCTTCAGCTCTCGGTTTAGCTTGTTTTCAGTACAAAGACTTCAGACTGGCAACATTAAAAATGTGTTCCTAATGAATGGTTGAAAACAGATTTAAATTTCTTGATTTTTGCTTTCTTTTTGAACACTGCCCCCTCCAGTACAAATCAGGATAGTGAAATTGTACTGACATCAGAGGAAATGTTGTAAAAGAAAATGCTTAATATGTTGGTGATAACAACTGTACTATGCTGTTTCTGCAGATAAAGTAGAAATGTGGTTCACCAGAGGGCCTGATTATATTCCTGTTTTTTTAGCTGTTGTAACAACAAAATTTCAATCAATACACTTTGATCTTATCTTATCTTATATATCCCTACCAAAAGATTTAATGACTATATAACATACAGTAACTTAAAATCCTCATTCACATTCTTTACAACTTTTGAGCAGGGATAAGATTCCACTGTGTCTATATGTCAGCCCTGTGGTTGACATGGCAACCATGGCAATAAACATTTTACCCCGCCTCTCGCCCAATGACAATGCTGGGATGGGCTCCAGCTCCCCGCGACCCTGAATGGGAAAAAACATTTAAAATAATGGATGGATGGGTGGTTAAAAAAATGAGGAAAATCCTGATCCAAGCTGGTGACTGGATAAAAGGGGGAAAAAAATATGTGAAAAAAGTGTATTAAACAAAGCAACAAGGTAGTTCATATTTGATGACATTGTTCATGTATTTTGCACAAGAATGCTTTATTACCACAGTTACAAACAGATAAGGTACACTTTAAGGTTGATTCTGTCCCTTTATTGCCTACTGCTTTTATAATTTCTGTTTACCTCGGCAGCTGGATTTTTAAAAGTAATGCATAATTAAGGTTTCCTCTTCCTCCTCCTCATGTGTTTATGTGTGCAGGACTGCGGCCCTGTGAATCGTCAGGGAGAGGACATCTCTGTGGAAGGGGACGGTTTCATGAGACTGCCGTCAGCCTCACAGGGGGATGCTGGGATTTACACCTGCCTGGTGGATATAAACTTAGACGGCAGGAATTACACGGCGGCACGCAGCATCAAGCTAACTATTACTGACGGTACGTCCTGTAAGTGTCATCAGGTTGACATGGGGGGTGGGCTGCAGAATGAATGGAAGGGTAAACACTGCTAAAAAAATTAATCACTACTTGTACTATACCATATACTATCGTGCAGGACTACTGACAACACATCATTTTACATTTTTTCATCATTTAAATGACCAGTTATTGTTTTAAATCAATGGAGCTCTCTAGATCAAAACTCTTACCCTTTAATGCCATTATCTGTAAGCCAGCTTAGCCTCTTAGTTAACTTGGCTTTTCCTGTTCGTACAGTGTCAGCTGATTGTATCATGTGTGTGATGAGTATTGTATTAATGTATGTTATACTGAGTATACGTTTTTTTTTTTGAATTGTAGGAACAGTTACTCCAGAGGCCAAGGTTGTGACCCCTCAACAGGAAGTGGTCGTAGTTGAAGTGGGCAAGTATCACAAACTCTGACCACTGTCATACACAACACATACATGCACACATACATACACACACCACGCACATGTACACACACGCACTGTATGTCTGTCAGGTATGAGATTACATTTACATTAAGTGTCACCTAGTTTTTTTTATGTAGTAGCCTATATAGAAGGTTGCATGATATTTGTTTCTGATTTGTGTGTTAAAGAGTTTTCATGTGATTGTGATTCATTTGTAAAAGCACTAATGCTATGCAGACTCACAGCTGTTTTTTTTTGTACACTTCTGTGATGAACAGGAGGAAAAGCTGAGCTGAAGTGTTTGGCTTACATTGGCTTCAGAGAGAACAGTGAGGATGACATTTACTGGACTGTTGGCGGGACCTTCGTTGAGGACAATGAGGGATTCCACGAGTCCTGGAAATAGTGAGTCTCTGCTTCTTGTTAAGTTCTTTGAGCCAACACTCGAGCATGGAAATTTGTGTAAACACTTGTGTGAAAAATGACTTAAACAGCACATTAGGCTGAAAGCCAATAAACAGCATTTGTCAGCTAATGAATCACTATTGCTCTACAGCCAATCTTTTTTCAAATAAAAGTGGGGATCTGACAGACCCCTTTTGGCACCATTGACAGCTTCTTTCAAATATCTTCAAACAGAAAAAAAAAAATACATTTCTGTCTCTTTCTGCTTCATTTACAAAACAAAAGCATGAGGACCAAATCAATGCCATTTCCCTTGTCTGCCTGTTTTTTAAAGGGACAAACTGATTCATGACTGATCTGTTCTGTCACTTTCAGTTCGCATATCAGTGGCCGTGTGTACGGTATGTCCACTCTGATTATCTCCGAGGTCCACCGTCAATTCTTGAACGTCCCCATTGGCTGCCATATTATGACCCTAAATGGAGTGAAAGTCGGCTTTGTGCATCTTCAAGAAGGTAACTTAACTAGCAATTTTCAGAAATGCTCAGGAGGCTTCAGTGGATGAAATCCAACAAGTTTACAGGCTTGTTGAAAGTGCTTTCATGATAACATTTTAAGATTTATATCAGGAAACACTAGAGCAAGAGACAGTGCCCTTTAAAAAAGTAGAAAAAGGTGAAGAAGGTGTAACCCAGGTTGAGAAAATGTAACTCCGTGCCCTGTTTGCTGCTCTCAGAACGGAGAAATAAACAGTTTTTAGGATGTTCAACCATTAACAACATGGATCTTTATCCAGAATAATCCATTGCTTTATACGTGCAGTGGTTCACAAACTCTTTCTGCCGGGACCCCCTTTGACATATGAAAACATTTTCAATAGATTATATTATTCTAATATTTGAGTCATGTTGTCGGCTCTTGTGTTGCTTGGCTTTTTATGTTGTTTGGGTTAATCGAATGGTTCTAGCTATTATGTAGTTGCTTGATTTTCTTCTTGATTTTGCTTGTTTTAATAGGTAGTGTATAAATAAAGTTAAATATGGTCCCAACACTTAAAAAATGTTTGAAGACTTTAATGTTGTTGAGTTCATTTCAAAGCATGAAAGGCTGTATTGTTTGAAATATGATGCACAAAAGAACTGCTAGTTTCCTGGAAACGCATCACTCCTTCCTAGAGTGCTTGAATACAGTTTAGTTATATGAGACACCAAACAGCAGATATGGAAGTATAAACTAGTCCTCCTCCTCCTCCTCCCTGCAGCGGACCGCAGCGCCCTCTACACCAGCTTGGCTCTCTGCATCCTCGTCCCGCTAACCATTCTGATCCTGGTGACTGCCCTCATCTTCTTTAGAGTCGATCTGGTGCTGGCTTACAGGAAACTGTCGAGAGGTTTCGCAAAACAACACGGTGAATGTCTATGAGCTTTTTCTGCTGAATCATCTGAGTGGAAACTACGGAAGCGTATTGCATTCATGTGGAGAAATTTTGTTTTGCCTGTTTTCTTGTTATTACGAGATAAAAATGTTTTTACTACGAGATAAAGATCTCGTTATAACGAGAAAAGATCTCGTTATAACGAGAAAAGATCACATAACAGACTAAAATGATACTAGAGGGGTAATGAAGTTTGCATTGTGGCAGGCAGAGGAGGGAGGAAGAAAAGGCAACGATGACCAGGGTTATTGATTTGATTGTGTTTTATTTCCATCTTGGGTTAAGACATTGGGAAATATTAGTGTCTTTGAGTAACATAGATGGTATTATCATGAGTATGTCAACTTTGCGCAGGCATCTGAAGGCGTTAAGGTTGTTCAGACGGAAAGAACACTCTGACCTACTTGACATTGCGTTATTCCTCTGGTATAATGTTACACAAACACATATATTTAACATTAACTAGTTAGCCAATTAACAATTACTATAGCTAATACCTGATTCTCCACCTTGTAATGAGCTGCCGCTGGTGTACTGTGCACTCCCATAAACAAACCTGTACCACCCTAATGCTTTTCTTGTTATAACAAGATCTTTATCTCGTAATAACGAGATCTTTTCTCGTAATAACGAGATCTTTTCTTGTTATAACGAGATCTTTATCTCGTAATAACGAGATCTTTTCTCGTAATAACGAGATCTTTTCTCGTTATAACGAGATCTTTATCTCGTAATAACAAGAAACCAGGCCAAAAAAAAATTCTCCACATGACTGCAATATGCTTCCGTAGGAAACTGCCTGGAACTCTCATGTTTACTTAACTTCACATCAGTTTGACCTTAGGAAACAGTGAGCTGGTTGAAATACAGACAAAAAACTAAAACAAGTAATATGTAAGCATAATGATATAGACGCAAACAAAGGCCCAATGGAAGGAAAAAAAGATTAAAACCGCAGACTTGGATGTTTAAGAGACGAGATACACACTCATGTTGATACATAACTTGGCAAAGCTTTAAAGATAGATGCTGTTTTCTCCACAGCTCCAGATGGGAAGCTCTATGATGCCTATGTGAGTTTCATCCACCCTGGCACTCAGAGTTTGGCAGAGACGGCGAGGTTCGCCCTGCAGATCCTGCCTGAGGAGCTGGAAAACAAACACGGCTACTCCCTGTACATCAGGGGACGAGACGACTGCCCCGGAGAAGGTCAGGAACAGAGACTCATTTGAATCACATCTCTGAAGCTAGAATTTTTTTTTTCATAGACTGTATAAATAATGGACTTAGTGTGAATGATGTAATTGATTAGTGTCTGGCCTTATGAAGCCCATTTCTAATCACAGGATTAGAAATGTTTTGTCAACCGAACTTTCAGTCAGTCTAATATCAGGCAAGGAGGTGGAGTTGTGGTGGGCCTTAAAATACATCGCAAACAGCTACAAAGTGCCCACTCAGCCACAAAGTGCCCACTTCAGCCACACCCCTAATTATGCAAATATATGAATAACTCTAATCCTTAATTAAACCAAAACAAATGATTTATATAAGATGATTTTTTTATATATAAAAAAAGCTTATTCTAAAAACACGAGTTGTGGATGCCAAATTTGTTTGTGAACCAGACTGTGAACTTATTTATTTCTGCTGTAAAAATGGGCATTTTAATATGGAGCCTAATTGGGATTCCTTGGCTTTTGGAGCCAGCCTCATGTGGACACTTGAGGAACTGCACTTTTTTGCACTTCTGGATTATTTTAATTTCTCAACACTTAAATTTACCGCTTTGCTCTGACCCAAAATTGGGAGAGCTGTTCTTAAAAACTACACAACAGGTTCTATATTATATTTAAATATTTTACAGCAACCTATGAAATGTAGCTTAACTGACATTGAACATTGACCAAATAAAAAATAAAAAATGCCACTGAAATCAAAACATTTGATTCCATAAGATCCCAAGAAGTTGCTACCTAAAAGGAGTTAAGGAAATTTGAAATCTATTCTTGTGTATCGGAAAAGTTATTGGTTTTAAAGACAGAACGTGTTTTAGGTAGCAGTCTTAGTCATAAAACACCGATCATTTCATTATTAAATTTTTTTTTATCCTATTACCTTCATACCACGCTTTGTAGAGATACGTTTACTCCCCCACATTAATGACATATTTCTTTATTTGCTATCTTTCATCTCTTACAGCGGTGCATGATGCTGTAGCTGCTACACTGAGCCAGTGTCGCAGACTGATACTTATCCTGTCCCCTTTGGAGAAATCCTACAGTGAAGTCAAAACCGAAGAAGTTCCCATATGTGACAACCTGAACCAGCTGTGTTACGAGCACAAAGTCGGCCTTTATGACGCTTTAACTCGAAACAGCCTGCGAGTGATTCTGGTGGAGCTCGGTAAGGACAAAATCTGCTGTGACTTAGAACAGGAATCTGACAATTTTAATGTTGGATGTAGCTGCTTAATGAGTTACGAGAAGCTGCAAATTCTGCATGACTATGCATTGTAATACATCTGCATCTGTCCTCTGTTTCTTTAAAAGTGAACTTTAAAACATCGTTTTAAAAAATCAGCTCAGCTTCATCATTACCATAAAGACACGCGAGGTATCAATCTTCTTAGCAGTAAATAGTGGGATTTCTCAGTAACTACTTTTAGCACTTAATAAGGTATATTTGTCTTTTTCTGGTTATAGTTAACACTCTCCTCTGTTCTATCAGACGGCCCGGTGGATTACAGTCTCCTGCCAGAGTCTCTGCGCTACATAAAGAGGAAACAAGGAGCTCTGAAGTGGAGGACCACCTCAGCTGGAGTCCATAAACTCAAGAAATTAGACTCTAACAGAAACCTGTGGAAGAATCTGAGGTACCATATGCCGTCAGTGCCTACAGGGAGACTCAAGACTGTGAAAACAGGTCACTTATGCTAACATTTTAAAGATGTTTTTTTGTTTGTCACGTCAGGATCTTGAATCAAATTTCCTGGAAAGATGTTTGGACAAATTGATACCAAATGGGGTTGTTGTCTGTACACGTACAATAATTAGTTGCGTGCAGGCATGTAGAAAAAAACAACTGCTTGATTTCCTCCAGGTATAAAGCAGGCATTTCATAGAACAGGCTGTGTTCCACAGATGCCAGAGTGTCTTTATTTACTGGAACTGTAATTCTCTGTAATTTTTTTACTACATTTTCTTTCCTACCTTGGCAAATACTTTGTAAAAATCCAAAATGTGAAGAAGAAAAAAAATCAGCTCACAAGTTTTCAGAAGTTTGAAAATGATCAGAGGAGGATGTAAAGGTCACAGATATCAGCACAGTTGTAGTGCATAAGAACATTAAAAAAAATCCACATTGGCAGCTGACTTGATCTGCAGTAACTGATTTGATTTGATCTGGTTTTTGCAGCTACTTTAAGTTACTTTAAGTTTTCAATATGTGACAAAATGACACGTTCTATATCTTTGTGTGCAGAGCCGTGCTGTGGTTTAAACCTCGTCTTGTATTAATGCAGACAGGGATGTATTATACAAGATATATAATTTGCACTATTTTAAATGGTATTGTTTATTAATATTACTTTATTTAAGTGGTTTCTCACATTTCACACAGTGATAAAATCTTTTTTTTTAAAGAAGAACAGAGGAGAAAAATCAACGGAAGGATTTTGCATGTAAATAAGTGGTTCAGAGCTGTGGAAAATGTCAAACACCTTTGCACAGGCCAGAACATTTTAGAACTGGTGTACAGATGAGTTGTTGAATGCGTCTCAACTTTCCATCGTCCTGCCTGGTGCGGTCACTTGAGCTGTGGCTTTAAGAATAAACTCTCTAAGATTGTGTGAACAGCAGGCAAAATGCTGGACAAACCTCAAAAACCTCTGTCTCAACTAATTACTGAACTACTGATAGGACAAGGAAGAAAGCGAGCTGTACTAAAACTCATCAGGAGTTAGAAGGTCCTTTTCAGGGCTGCTGCCCCCCCCTCCAATAATTATATATCAACCCGAACAAAGATTTAAAGAAGCCCCTTCATGACGCAAAATTAAACGTGCAATTGAACAATAGACTTGTACATTGACTCACAACATCAACTCCATATTTCCTTTGAGATGAAGATGAAAAGCTAAAGACCCAGCTCTTTCATGAATACCTGCAACCTTGATGATAATGATGATGATGATGATGATGATGATGATGATGATGATGATGATGATGATGATGACGGGTAACGCAGTTGGAGGATGGTTTTGATGCTGATTAGAACTCTAATGAACAGCTGTCGATGTTGTGCTTTGCCTCTGAGCACTTCCTGTCAGCACCTGTGTGTCTCAATCGGACTTAAAGCTGTTTGTTTCTACTTACTGACATTGTTTCCTCCTCTCTAGATCCTTGCTTGTGTTGTATCTACTCTCTGATGTACGTAAAATAAAGTGTCTGCTTATGAAGTGTAGAATTGTAGACGAAGGCAATGCACTGAAAACAAAGTCTTGGTGGGATATCCTTTCATTTCCTGCAGATGTCAGAAGATATCTGATGGATTACAAGGTTGTGTAAAGGGAATCAAAACCAGTCCAACGATCATTTAAGATTAGGGCCTAACTTTTCTACAGTAAATAAGGTTCATTCACAGTAAAGCCCAGGAATCTTTTTCTTTTGTGTCTTACACCTTGTTGACTGACTGACACATCTTTCTGGAATCATCTCTTTGGTTTTCCTCACAAGAGTCGGTTGATGTTGTGTAACCTGCAGAGTTTCTCCTTTGATGGCAACATACCCCCCCAAACGCCGGAAAAATACAGACTCTGTGTAATTTAATGCATCAAGTTATTGCAAGTACACAAACAGAGCCGCACAGTTGACCCATGAATCATATAGTTGAATTCTGTGTTGTTTTTTTCCTCTATTAAATGTGAATCCATCATGGAAACAATCCTTAGAACCACAGACCAAACAGGAAAGACAGCAGAGCTTGACTGCAAAGAAGAGTCGCTAAGAGAATAACATTTCTGTTGCTTACAGGGAGAACAGATGAGTTAGAATTGACCCTTTGTTGGCTCTCTGATGGGTCTGCTGACCCACCAGTCAGAGACACCCCCATCCCCCCTCACAGCAACAGTTACTGGGCTAAAAGGTGTGCTTTGGGTTTCAGCAGGAGTCAAAAGATCCACATTGTAGGGTTTTGTGCATAACTCTCAACTACGTATTTAAGGACCTGTTACACATGTTTAGAGCAGTGGTACTCAACTGGTGGGTCGGGACCCAAAAGTGTGTCGCGAATGTGTGCCCAGAAAAAAACAGTGGTGTCAAAAAGTCTATGAATCACTTTTACAACTTTTTTGTTTGATTCTGCATTTTTGTTCTCCAATTATTTTATTTTAATTCATTTTACCCAAACAATAGATGCAATGCAGACAAGACAGTAGCAGCAGTAACATATCTTACCCGTCTTACAACAGCACCGTACTGACACTCACATTCCCCCCTGTCCCGAGTCCAGTGCAAAGCAACATCTAGATGTCATCAAATTCATAATAAAGAATAATAATAATAATAATAGTAGTAATAATAATAATACTACAAATACTGAGCTAATGATGAAAGAAAGAAAATAAATAGATAAACAAAAACATTCACACACAACAAAAATAAAAAACAACTACACAAAAAAAAGCAGCAAAAAATAAATAATAGAAATAAAGACATAATCATGGTAACACTTTGATAAATGAATCAAATAAGTGTCAAATTATAATCCCCAGCCATAATACATTTTCCATAAATCTGTGCAGCCGCTAATAGAATGTCTTTAGAAAATAGAGCATCGTCATTATTTGGGCCATAGATATTAATAAGTGTGAATGGTTCTTGATTTATATGACATTTAAGTATTATCCATCTCCCAGTTGAGTTCCTGGCTAAGCACTTTCATTGTTATTTGCTTGTGGCATAATATGACCACACCCCTACAACTAGAGTTATATGAAGAGTAAAACACTTCCCCCACCCAGTCTCGTTTTAGTTTTAGATCTTCTGCGTCTGTCAAGTGTGATTCCTGTAAAAAAGCAATACTACAGTCTTGGGTCTTATGGGGGTTATTGATGCCTTTGACATTAAATGTCATAAAAGTTAAAGTACTAGTCATTATAAAGCCAGCTTGAATGTATTAGTACAGCCAGTATATTCACATGTAAAAGCATCAGGAAAAAAGATAAATACACAATTAAACAAATACAGACAAAAAGGAAGAAAGTAAAAAATAAATAAATAAATAAAACACAAAGAAAGTGAAGGGCATTGACTCTAGATGTATCTTGTGCCTATAGCAATTTGTGAAGTCATATCCATTAAGTTCATATATTTTTGCACTGGGCTCCCCCCCTCCCTTCCCACTCCCCCGTACGCACCAACTGACAATAAGATTGGTCTCATTTAACACTTACCAAGCCGACTTCATAAGTAATAAAATAAAATAAAATAAAAGAAGCAACAAACTTAAACCAGAAACTACGCTGCACCTCTCTCACCCATCACCCAGTTGTTAACATAAGCTCAATGGTTCATGCATACAAATTTCACCGCTATTTATTTTTGTTTTATTTTTTTTCCGTCCATTCATAAATTCCAAGTCATTCTAAGTCATAGTAGCCTACTGACTTATTTTATACAGCTGAAGCAATCACACATTATATTCGTTCATTAGGGCTCCGTATAAAGATACTTGCTCTCCGTGGGTTTTTTCAGAAGATTACGGCCCATTAAGATTCTTCGAGTTCGCGGACAAACTTCTGTGCAGTTTCTGCGGATTGGAATTCTCTGGTGGCTCCGTTGTGCACCACTCGGAGTGTAGCAGGGAATTTCATGTAGTAGTTCAGTTTCTAGTTGCTTCACGTCGTCAAATAGTTTCACGTCGTCAAATAGTTTCCGTTGGTTCATCACCACCGGGCTGTAATCCTGGTAAAAGTATATTCTGGTCTTTTTCTCCCCGTAGTGAAGCTCTCCCTTTTCTCGTGCCAGTTTTAAGATGATGTCTATGGGGCGCCGATTGTAAAGTTGCGCACACTACAAATAACAACAACATTTCTCCACATTTAGCCCTAAAACATCACTTTTTATTCACTTGTGAACTTTGTCATATTTACTTTTGTGAATAAAAATGTAAGATAATTTCATTGGCAAATATAAATGTTAAATATTATATCTAAATGTTGAATGTTTTATCTAAATGTTAAATGTTATATATAAATGTTAAATATTATATCTAAATGTTTAATATTTTATCTAAATGTTAAATGTTATATATAAATGTTAAAAATACATGTCTTGATTCTAAATATTTAGCTACGTTTCTAAACATTTAGTTTACATTCTAAATATTTATATATTTATATATATATATTATATAATATATATATAATATATATTGATCCTATATATTTAACTAAGATTGTAAATATTTATAATCAAAGCTAAATATATAGAATATAAACTAAATATTTAGCAACGACTTCTAAATATTTAGCTAAGACTCTAAATATTGAGCTTTGATTTCTAAATATTTAGCTAATATGCAAATTCACTCTACCACCCACCGGAAGCACCAAAATAAAAGTTTGAGGAAGCGATCCAACCATTGTCTCCTACAGGAGACTGGCGGGATTTTGAAAATGTCGAACGAATTTGCAATATATATAACGAATATTGGAAGGGCCATTTTGGCCGCAATTCAGGGTTTTCAAAGCACTACTTCTTTGTTCATAAGCATAAATAGTATTTTTTTAAAGCATACTGAGGGTCCTGTGCACACTGCTCACACCTGTGCGGCCATCTTGAACCTACAACAAGGAAGGATTTGCATTGCATTTTTGTTCTGTCATGTTTTGGACTGTTTGGTCCAAAAATCCACCTTTTTTTCATTAAATGAATCTAATTGGTTTAAAACAAATCTGAAATTTGGGTCGCAATTTATCATTAAGGAGTTGGTGGTGGGTCCTGAGGCTAGACCAGTTGAGAACCACTGGTTTAGAGGATATTTCAGACCCCTGGCTCTAGAAATGGTCTCCGATTGAGTCCAGATTTAGGTCAGTGGAGTTGAGACAGCTAGCAGCCACGGAGGACGGCTTACGTTAGCTGACATCACTGGCGCTAGACATCGGTCATATTTACAATTTTCTGAACATGTTTTTTTTTAAATAGATTCCGAGTTATCTGACCTAGTAACAGTAACTAAAGATGGCGGGGCTTGACAAAGTCAGGGCTTGACAAAGGGTCAATTCAGAGGAGGAAGACATTCTCCCATCCAACTGATTTTCACATTGGAGCAAATCTAATATTAATTACTGTAATTATAACATTTATTTGTTTTGAAGTTTGATTGATTTAAGG